CACGTCTCTTCATCCTCCCAAACAGCCAATCATATGCTTAGTAAGAGCCAAACATCCAGCCAGGTATGTTTGTGCACTCACTTGTCATAAAAAGTTGCTTGGTAGAAGTCTAAATACAGGGAAATACGTTTTAAACCGTAAGTCACTGTTCAAGTGTTTTTTGACTTTGGATTTGACTGGAGTTTCTATACATCCAGGTATGACTCTTCTCTCTCCATCCACTTAGATTTGGGTTTGGTCTTGTTAGCCCAAAGTAACTGCCCTGAGGTGCTGCCAAGTGGCAAGTCTTGCCTATATTGGCTTTGGTATTGGTTGATTGGGTTCTGTTATAGTTCAGACTGAAATATCTCAGTAACTGTCGGGTACGTTGCTATGAAATTTTGACTCTTCCTTCAGTGTGAAGAGGTTCAAAAAGACTCCAGGTTTATCTACTTATGCAACCTGTAAGTCTATTTTTTCAAAAAAAAAATACAGATTTGACTTTTTAGGGGTTTAAGTAGTCATATCATAGGATTTTACCCATTCTATGTAGTTCTGGGATATAATTCTTCTTTTTCTTTGTAATTCATGCTCTCTTGTGGTATGTTTAGTGGGTCGATTGGTCGTGAAGTTGCAGCCAATTCCTTTATTTACGGTGGCTTTTCTTTGTACCAAACTGTTTCTCTCAAAAACTAAAATAAATGACTATATTTTTGCAAGTTAGGCAGAGTGCTAGTCGTTTAGAAATTTTGGGATATGCTCGTCTCTCTGTCTCGTGAAATATGTGTGAAGAGTTTGTTCCTCGAGCTCCACCGTGGGGTTTCTGAGTTAAAATGAAAAGTCTCCACAACTGTTACTGCCAACTTTGGTCTGCACATTCCTGTTTACCTCATGATGAGCTGTGGTGACTTTTGCGATAAGTTCGTTCACTATGAAAATCATTCGTGCAGTGAAAGAAGAAAAGTCAGTGGAGACTGTGGACACTTCACATTAAAGAATAAAGGCACTGCGGTGATATAGTGGACAGTGAACACACAATGCTCCATGTAATGAATAGATGGTGACACAGCCGTGAACATGGCAGTTGAAATAAACATTATACCTGCTGAGTGTGAACATATTAGCATGCTGACCCAACTGCTGAATATTTACAATGTTCGGGCATACATTTAGAATGTGTTGAAAGTATAGTAATGTACGTTAAACGTTGTGGATCAATACTGCGTGAACACGAGAAGACTTCAGCGGTACTAAAGATGTCTCCTGTTATTCTCCCTCTTCCTCTGCTCTTATGCAGAATTCATTATTACTGTATCATTTCAGCAGTATGGTCCACAAAAGACCACACCGGCTGGCTGATGGTTTTAATTAAGGGCCAAAAATAGGCCAGGACATATCTGTCTAACCCTTGCCGGCACATTGGCCTGATGATGTGCAGGTAAGAAGAAGGGAGAAAAAAACAAAAAACTCTGCAATTAAACTCTAATCATCTGAAAAAGCTGACACCAGTGAGATCTCATAATATCATCACTGACAAAGGAGATTATTGAGAATTGAGCTGTTAATGTTGGAAGACTAACTCGTGAATTTAACACACTGGATCGTCACTGCTCTGATGTACTGTCATGTCTACATGTGTACCACTGATTACATGCTGCTAATGCAAGTTTATTTGATTATTAATTGTGCTGATGGTTGATGCCCAGAGTTACGTCTGTATTCATCATTGTATGAAGAGCCCTAAATCTCTAAAATCCTTCGGTTATGTTTCCACAATACAGATGACGGCCTCTTGCTTGATTTTTTTGCTCGCCCTGTTGAGTTCTGCACTAGCAGGTACAGCTTATCATTTCCCTCCCCTCCTTCCTGTCTGTCTGTCTGTCTTTCATCCTGATCAGTAGATTTTTTTATTATTATTATTTTATTTCTCAGAGGATTAAAGCCGGACCCTGTTGAGTAGAAACCCAATCTCTCCCTCTCGCTCCTCCTTTCCTCTTCTCTCAATTCCATCAAATTCACCCTCTCCTCCCCTTCCGGGACCCCACCCTGAAGTGGATGGATTAATGATCTATACTCGCAGTATCACCTACAGCGCTGTCTGTCCGCTTATCTTTAGTTTTTTTTTTAGTTTTTGGATGAATGGCTTCTAAGTGTGTACCTGTGTAATCCGCTCCATTGTGTTCGGTGTTGCTCCGTGCTGCCCGGTGACTCATTGTGAAGGACCCGTCCGCTGCATTACATCTTAGAGAAGAAAGCGCACATACAAAATAGTCTGCAGTGGTTATGTGATTGCTTCCATTAAAGTGATTATGCAATCAACAGCAGCAAGACAGACGGGAGGCAGACAGGCAGGCAGTCCAGCCGTGAGACAGACGGGGAGACGAGGGGGGTAGATGTGGAGCACACGCACACAAACACTCGCGCAACACGCACACGTATGTACACAGCACTCAGGCAGGCAGGGGGAATTTCTCTCTTGTTAATAATTATTATGAAACGGCTTCACATGGAGCACTTGCCTCTTCGTGCTCAGCATGACGGCAGGTCTGTCCCAGCAACCTCTCGCCACACACACACACACACACACACACACACACACACACACAGGCGCACACACTTTCTTTTCTTTCTTCAATTGCACCCTCCTTCCTCCTTCCTCCTCCTCCTCCTCCTCCCTCCACTCCTGACAATATTTACCAGACCCCAGGGGCTCCCAGCGGACGCCCCTCTCCCCGTCTCTGCCTCCGTCTCACTTCCTGGGTGAGCCAGTGTTTGGAGAGTCCCAGGCTCAGTGCAGGCCTCCACCGGTGCTTGTTTTGTACCAAAGCGAGCAGATAAAGAGGGACGACGGGGACCAAGTGACACGTCTCCTTTGTTTTACATCTGAACATTTTATCTCTAATCACTCCCTTTCAGTGGTAGTCTGTCATCGATGCTCCTCAGCACACCTCGCTGATGGCTGCTTTGTTGATCTGGTAGGACTTTTATGGTTCTGTGCTGTCGAGACACTGATGCTTCACTCCAGGGCGACATTTCGTGAGACTGACTTATGAGTTTACACTCTGCTCCCCATCCCCTCTTACCATGTTGGCAGAAAGATGGAGTCCCAGTTTTCCTCACGCCCTTCTCTTTTCTTTTTCTTCTCCCAGCCAAGAAAGCACCGGACGGCTCAGTCATCGCCAACGGCTACTGCGACTTCTGCCTCGGAGGCTCAAAGAAGACCGGCTGTCCTGAAGACCTTATCTCCTGTGCGGACTGTGGACGCTCAGGTAGGGCACCGCTGAAGGGGATGATTGGCAGGAGGAAGGCAGTCCTCTGCTGATGCACAGTTTTGAAACGTTCCTCTCGCTGAGTATAGATTTCGTATTCACTATATGATGAGTAATTTCAAGCTTTGATTCCTTTCGATGAAGCTTTAAATGGATGGACCATACCAGTGTTTTTTTTTGTTTTAGCCCAACTCATACAAATTCAGCCCCTTCTCTCAAAAGTTACCCTCCTGTACAAATAAACTGCATTCTCAATTACTGTACGTTTAAGAAGAAACACGTTTCCTCCCTGCAAGGTAGCGGTGCGACTTGGTCGGAAGCGTTTCGACTTTCAAAGAGCCACGAGCCCTCATTAGGAGCTCGGAGGAAGGGGTGGTGCTGGTGGAGCTGCTATTTTTAGACCTGTGTGGTTGGTTTAGGCGCCTAAACTACAGTTTTAGTCAAATATCATGCTTTAGGTAAAACTGGAGGTGTGCGATATTGGATTTTTATAACTCGTTTTGGTCTGATACTGATACATTTTTCAAGACCTGTAGTAGAAGTAATATTATTACACTCAAAAAACAGAAGCGTTGGATCACATTATCTGATTTGCTTCAAATGGTAACACACAGCTGGACTAAACTTGTCAACAGTCAGTTCACAAGTAATATTCACTGGTTTAAGTTAAATCACATGATTCCTCTCAAACGAACCAAGTTTGAACTGCTGCAGCTTTAATCTTTCCAACTAAAGAATTTGTTTAACCCAAATGTAAACTGATTATGCTTCTCCCACTCTGTCCTTTTTTTTTACTCTGTAATCCCGCTCGAATAAAATGATGGTTGAGTTGCAGCAGATTCGATCTAAACTGCCGTCAAAGCAGAAAGAATGAGATTAATTTAAAAAAACGTAGAGCTCAAATGCACTTTTTCCAGCGTATGCCTGCTCTCATCGGCCCACTGGCAAGAGCAGACGTTAAATATGATGCTTGAACTGTACACGCTCAAGAATTGCTCCTTTCCCATTATATCTTATTTATTTACTTATTTGCTATTATGTTTGTTTTGTTGTTACCTACTTTGTAAAGTGTCTTTGAGTATCTTGATTATTATTATTATTGTTATTATTATTATTATTTATGAGCAAAATTTTAACATTCCAACAAATCATTTAAGCTGACAGGTGTTTCCTGCCTGTTCATGTTTATTTTGATATTTCATTTTTAAGCTTTTATCAGCCGATACTAGTGATAACAGCAAAACACACCACTTACCACTAGTTTTAAGTTTCCCTCCATCATCTGGGTTACCACGGCGATGAGTCCCGTCTACTCTAATATATATTTTCCTTGATTAGAAACACATTTGTGATACATCACCAAAAAAAGAAAAAACTGAAAATATGTTTTCCTCCAACTGAGAATGCCGTTTAGTTGTAAAGGAATGTAATGTTTGGGAGACAGGGCTCTACAAATCATGTACAGTTGATCTAGCCTCGCTAACAGCCGTTTGATGTAATGTTTCATAATTTTTTTAAGGGTGTGTTTCTCGCCTTGTGGGCAGCCGTGGTTGTCTCTGATTCCACTACAGTGTGAAAACCAGCTTGCAGAGACTTGAACTTGATTTGAGATTCGTAGCTGACCTCGCTGAAAACATAAAGGAGACGCAAACGTGCTGAAAATACCAAATCACAAACATGTAGATGTGCCGTTAACTCACAATCAACAAGTTAGCATCACGCTGTGACGACGAGCAAAACCGGCACATGCAAAGTTTCAATCAGTAACTGACCTGCTGGTGAAGAAGGATCAGCACGCCTGCTTCTTATCGTCAGCTGTGCTTTATGTTTTGGTACTCACTGATGTGTGTGAGGACTCTGCTTTACACCACAACAGCAACACCACTTTGGCAAAGATAGAAGAATAGTGATGTTCACTGGGACATGTCATCTCATGATTCAGCATCAAGTCTCTGCAAGTTCAATATTGTATGGAAATTAATGGAAAGAATGGAAACCAGACAACACGCTAAAACCAAACAGCTAAAGCAGTACGCTTTGGGAAAAGGTGTCTGTAATGTAAACTGTTCTAACAGAGTTTTCATTCCTAATCACACATTTATATGTTCTTACAAATCAGGGCCTATTTGCACTCATGCAATCTGAATTAACTTAATAAAGCATCAGCACTCAATAACCACAGGCTTTATGAAGGATCAATGGTTTATGAGATAATGAATAGGATATATAGTCTGGGAAAGGATTTGTTCACTTATGAAGACAAGACTTGGAATAAACTTTTTCCAAGATGAGATAAATAATAATGAGTAATAAAATAATTAATTTAACGTGATCGTTTCCTCTGATCACAGCGTCCTACATACAGATCCTTTTACTGGCACTGAAACATGAATGGTTCTAATAAAATGTCATCTTGATGTGACCTTATTGTCTGGCAAAAAAAACACAAACTTGTTTTGAATCTTGTCTGCTGCACGCCTTTCAGTCCTGGCTGCTTGTACATGAGCCTGTTGTGATATGATAAAACTTTGTTTATTTCTTCTTCTGAGAGGGTTTCACATTGTTACGAGGACCTGACATGAGTTTGTGAGAGGATGATCTCCCCTTAGCATGTACTCTGGTTGTGAATGGCAAACAGTATTTATTTCATTGGAGTGGAATTTAAGTATTTCTTTAAATATGGTTGTATTGTTTTGTTTCCCATCATAGGTTTCACTTTGTTTTGGTTTGGGATGTGTTTGTACATTGTGGTTATTTGTATCAATGCAGAGATTGCAGTGTACATGGTGCAGAACTTGTGTGTGCTTACTATTTGATTGCATGTACTGTATATGCATTTATATATTTCCCCTCATGTTCTTTTTCATCTGAAAAATAAAAAAAAGAGAACAAAAAAGATTTACGTGACTTGTAGTGAATGGGCTAATGCATGCGAAACATTGGTATGGTCCTTTTCTTTAGAACCACTCACAAAGAAGACAAACTCAAGGTCAGGAAGTGAGGATGACATAATATTTCTATTGTCATGATCATGTAACAGCAAGTAGCAGGCAAAACTAAAATAACTGGGGAAGAGGAGAGAGGTCATCTTTAAATGGCAGAGAATTGGACTGCTGTGGGAAAAAAAAGGACGACGAATTTTCCTCTGATTGTGGCAAAATGGAAAATGTTATAACATTTATTTAAATTGTTTTTAATGGCTTCCAAAACCGACTCAGAAGCAACATTATGGTTCCTGTGAAGGCTTTGTTATTATAATTCTTCCCAATATTCTGCATTCTTAAATACACAGAGAAAAAGCTGCCTAACAACGTACAGATATCTGTAAAACACCGATGCTGAATATCCCTTCAGACATATCGCCCTGAACAAAGCAAACAAGTTGATGGATAGATAAACTGGGTGGATGATGGATGACTTTCCTCAAAGTTCAGACGGCGATAGTGAAAAACGTGTGGCCATGTGTTTGTGTGTCTGTGTGTGTGCGTGCTCGTGTGCGTGTGTGTGTGTGTGTGCACCCAGGCCACCCGTCCTGTCTGCAGTTCACAGTGAACATGACGGCTGCGGTGAGGACTTATCGCTGGCAGTGCATCGAGTGCAAGTCGTGCAGCCTGTGTGGCACCTCTGAGAACGACGTAGGATCTCACCTCATACTACATGTTAACGCTAAACACATGTGGCTGCACACACACACACACACACACACACACTCATATATACACGCATGCTACTGCACGTAATGTTGAACAAACCTGTAACTTAGCGCTCTCACACTGATGGCCTTTTGGGGTTTGTGCTGTTTACGTAGAGCACTTTTTGTTCTGCGGATGTGTTTTTGAGTTCCTGCCCAGGGACATCAGATGGAAATTAGCTGCTAAGTAACTCTTTCAGTTGTGTCCCTGCAAAAATTAACAAAGCAAAATAAGTAAATGAACGGAGGCTTTATCGGTAGGTTGTACTTTTTCGAGCCGTGATCCAGGAAAGACAGATTTACAGATCACACTTAAGAGCGTGAAGATTGCATGTGGCTGGATAAGGATGATAAAGATTCAAACCAGCGCTGTTAGAGTGACACAAAGGATTTCCAAAGATGCCGATGTCCTTCATCTTTGGAATTCTGATTATTTTTACTATAAAGGTCCACGTGGTCAACAGTGTTTTAAACTGGATTCACAATTCAGAAACCGACCGAGGGGCACATAAATCACAACCCAACGTCTTGATTCATATGCATACAAGTCACACACGCTTTAAAGCGAACACACATCGTCTTTTTGCTGTTGTGTCCTCAGCTTTGACATCAAATCTGTCACCGCATCATAACATCTGTTATTGTCTTCTGTTGCAGGACCAGCTGCTGTTCTGTGATGATTGTGACAGAGGCTACCACATGTACTGTCTGAGCCCTCCCATGTCTGAACCACCGGAGGGTATGCATTACAATACGAGCATTATCATCCAGCGATCCCCCGTGTGTTCAGACCTGCATTTGGTCAGACTGCACAAACCGAGGACACTCATCTGAGAGCGTTTTTGTTGTTGGCACTGAATTATGTAACTGTCTGTACTGTAGGTGGGGAGACAGTCACACTTAGGAGAGGGAAACCTGCGGTCAAATCAGTCATATTTTCCCTGCGCTGGCTTTTTAGGCAGTGAAAGATAGAACCCTCAGGACTCTTTCTGGAACATCCTAATGCGCCAGGCAGAAAGAGTCCTGGTGCCGTGGCGACGATCGCAGAAATGAAGGCAGGTACATCTATTTAAATCAAACTGTCATTTGGCACATAAGATGGCTGCCTCAGGATGTTTGATGGCGTTGTCATGGAAATGAGTAGTAGAAAGATAATCTGTTTCCATGGCAAAAGTGTCACTTGGCTGAACATACAGTAGCAGTGCCACTTGTGTTCAACACTCACTAACAGTGTCAAGCTCTGCCCACACACGCACTGCTTTTGATTTACAAGGAACATGTTTGAAATCCCGCAGTAGTCAGTTATTTTAGGTTTACATGGATTCCATCGCATGGAAGGCAAACTTATATTTTTATACCTTCTGTCCTGTGCTTAAAGCTCACACAACACCTCCAGGCAGGATCCACACTCACTTTGATGTATTAAGGTTGAGAGGTACATTTAAAATCTGTCTTAAGTTGATGTTTAATTAATGTCACAAATCCCATGCCAAAATCCAAACCAAACTAGTTGTCAAATCCCCTGCATCCACAAACCACAGGCGCAGCATGTGGTGTTTCAACATGCAGCTTTAATTTACAGTGTTACTTAACGCTCTGTGTGAAATGAGGGATTAATCCACGCGGCTTTACAATAGCGGTGATTGAACTTGCGATCCGTGATGTGCTCTGTGTGTGTGTGTGTGTGTGTGTGTGTGTGTGTGTTGTGCAGGGAGCTGGAGCTGTCATCTGTGTCTGAGACAACTGAAGGAGAAGGCCTCAGCCTACATCACCCTCACTTAATCTGTGGAGCTGCTCCTCATCCTCTCGGCCCGTCGTCCTCTCCCACACCACCTCTCCGTCGACCCTCCTCTCGTGATCCGCTCGCCTCCACTTTCTCTACAATCTGTCCCCGTGACCTCTGACACGACTGAGCACACAGCACCCGCAGTGCTGCACCCATTCTTGAGCGTCTCTCAGCAGCGAGCCAACCTCTGTCCTTTTGTCACTCAAATTCACTGTTGTGCTTGACCTGAACCCCCACCTCCCCTCCATTCCTGCTCTGTCTCAACACAGGAATTCATCAGCTGGCAATAAGTTTGCTAGCAAGACACACACTCCAGCCTGCCAAGGGCACTTCTGAGGCATACTACTCCACAGGAGCCCTCGTAAGGGCCCTCGGATGAGCCCTAATGATCTTCAGCTGCAACTCAGTCAAGTAGTGAGTGAGAATTAATAAGATGGATAGGTGTTAGGCAGAGGACAGGGCTTCGAAGACCCTGAATAACCATGGAGCAGTATGTTTCGGTGTTAGCCAACTGTGAAATATACACCCAACCAAAATTTCATTTTCTCCCTCTGTCCTTTAGCGTGTGTGGCAGGGCTGAGACGCTGAACTCCGTTATTTGTCTGAAGGGTTTCCTCGCCCTGAGCAGTTTCAAACGGGGAGTGAATTGTACAGAATTCAGACTGATTCTCTATCTACACGCTCATAGAAACTCCCCTCACTGGAGAACGAGGAGCATCTGGTCGGGAGCTCGGACCATCTTTGACCTCACCCCGTCCTCTCTCCTTGCATGGGGTTTCCACAAATTAGTGATGCATTTTGAGATTGACACTGAAGGTTTTAGTGCACGGACGTGATCCTCTGACGAAAGGAGGGAAGGATTTTTCTCTAATCAGCTATCTCTGATCAAACAGTGTATTTAAAAATGACAATTTAGGCTTAGCATCTCTCACAAATCCTTTACCTGACCTGTATTTGCCCTTTCCTTCTATGAAACAATGACTGTGAAGCCAATGCGAGACTGAAACGCTCCTGGTGCTTGGTATGTATTATCTGTGTGTTAAGAATGTAGGATTGATGTGTGGACAATGCAGATTCCTTGTCTGGCCTGAGCCGAGGCCCAAAAACTTATTTTTTATGATTCCTTTTTCAAATTTTTTTTCATTTGCATGTTGTTATTTCGATTGTTTTTGAAAACTTTTAATTGAAATTGAAAAGAAAGCACACTTAATTCGCAATAATGTGTTTGTGATATGAACTCTTTTGGCCAAACTGGGTGTGTTTTAAACTCTGTGTGTGCCTGTGTGTCTGTCTGCGTGAGTTTATTTGAGCTCTGTGCTCCACGGGGATCTGTGAGAGGATGCGAGTAGCAGCGTGCTAATGTGAATGTAAGGAAAGTCAGCATTTTCCTGTTCAGGCATTCTGGCAGAGGTGGGACAACTCTCAAGTCTTGGTGCTGAAGTCGAGACAAACAAGTGTTAAAGGAACAGATGAGAAGTTATAGTTTCACAGGTTGTGTGCCAGACCATTTCTTGGCAGCGCCTCCAGGAAGTCGCTGTGTCCAGCAAAGAAAGAGTCTGGCACATAAACTCAAGTAAAAAAACACAACTTGCCGGTTAGACCCTTTGTTTTATGTAACAGGCTAATCCTTGAGCTTTAGAGGTGCTAGTAGGCAGATTGTGTTTACTCAAGACAGAGCCAGGCTAGCTGTCTCCGCAGCTTGTAGTCTTAATGCTAAGCTAAGCTAACTGTCTCATGGCTGTAGCTTCATCACACAGACATAAGACTGGTATCAAGTTTCTCATCAAATTCTCATCAATACAGTGAAATCACAATCCTGAACGCTAACTTATTTCCTGAAAAGGCAAACTCGTCACCAAAATTACTGCCACTGAAATACTTCTCGTGCAAGTATTTTCCTCTTTCACAAGCTCCGATGTTCCTACATTTAGGAAACCAAATCCTGGATAAATATCACCACAGCACAATGTCAGCAGATATGCTAAGCTAGTTGGCACTAGCTTAAAGCGTTACTCCATCCAATAGTCCTTTCAAGATCAAATACACCTTAAATGGTGGTTTTTAGCAAATGCTAAACCACTTCTGTCTCTTAATCTGCTTTGACATTTTTTATTTAAATGGGAAAAACATGAATAATCACCAAAAATACAGAACAAATCACGTGCAGTGCTTCTGCTTGACATTCTGCATCATCATGGAAGCTTTAATGACCTGGTGAGGGCCCCAAAGATAAGTCAAGTTGCATCGGTATTCAAAGTCAGACGGTGACTTAAACTAGTTGTTTTTCTTAATCGCCGTTGTGTCCTGCAGAACACGAGGCCACCTGTTTCAACACTGAAACAAGACGATGTTGTGAACCGCTGCCTGCCAGTGTGCGCTGCACGTTAGAGGCCAGTACAAATGTTGAGTCTGACTTGGACGTAATGGGATTAATATGCCAGCCAGCATGCATTTTTGTGAGTTTGCACTGAAACTTCCCTTTTTTTTCTCCTTTTAACCCAAAGTCCCATGATTTTATCTTTAACCAGTTCAACTGGACATTTCAAGGCAACTTTAGAGGGCATGTTGGAGGACAGGTGAAGCGTGTCACCACCCGGTGGAAGTTGACTGAGTGTAAATGGTTTAGGGCATGAAAGATTTGCCATCTGGATTGGATTATATAAAAGCATGGAGTGTCCCAGTCTGGGAACGTGTAGCGACCATGGCGTCATCCATTGGTTTGGGGGATACCATTTTGGATCGCGCTCAGAACTTGAGGATACCAATAATACGGTGTTGAACTATCAACCGCATGTAGCCCCACCTGAAGCATTTGCTGCTTTATTATCTGTTTTCCTCTAAAATGAACTCCAAACTTTGCATTGTGCCGTTTTCAAAAGGTTTTGAAATAAGCAACTGAGACTACAAACTTATTGGAAAAATGTTTACCGAGTCGCCCCCTAGTGGTCGTTACAAAGAATGCAGGTTTAAGACATTCGCAGCTGGTGACACTTGGAGGCTACGTCCATCTTTACATACAGTCTATGGAGTGGACCAAGTGCACGGCTGATCTCGGCAGACCAGAACTGGAGGAACACTGGACAAACCAAAGATAACAACCTGTTTACCAACAACGAGTATCGGAAAATGCAGTGTTATATCCGCAATTCACATAAATCCCAAAAAACACATGCATATTACAAAAATACCCAATGAAGTAGTCATTTATACTCAAAATTAATATAGTAAGTAGCCTGCTCTGTCCTGTTCATTCTTCACTTGTGTCTGTTGGTGAGCTCAGAGTCACCGAGTAGAGCAGTAGTAGTGCTAGTCACTATCCGGTGGTTCTGGTTGAGCTGAACTCTGATGAGTTCTCTGCAATGTGAGTCACAGATGGACCATTTTGTTGGATTTCGCCACAACCATTTATGCTCTCACATTGGGCAGCAATTCACATCAGCTCGCAACTCACATCGGGTGGTGACAAAGTGCCGATTTAGGAGACCTTCAACATTCCTAAATTGTGAGTATGAGGACGGCATCCATTCACTGATCTGTGAGCTTTAAGCTTGGAGACAATAGCTGTAAATAAGGGAATGAATCAAGGGCAACAAATTGCCGTCGCATAGAGCATTTCACATTCTTGTGTACGCATCAGAGTATGAAACAGCTCTGAATCAGTTGGCTTTGGTTTGAATGAACATCTCATTTTGATGCTGCATCACGTCTCAAAAAAAAAAAAGGAAACTCGCAGGATCGGATGGCTCCCGAGAATGTACCTGAGCTGTGGTTGTGTCGGCCATCTGATACAGAGGGACAGTAGGTGCAAATACTGTGCTACCCCTCAGTCTAACGTAACTCCACTGTTGCATGAATGACACCTCAAACGTGTCCGATTTCATATTTTGATATTGTCAGTAATGCTTTTTTAAATAACGATGAGAGAAAACCTTTAACTTATGTTCCTGTTTGGTTTTGTAATTTGTGTGTTTTTTTTTGGTTTTTTTTCCCTCCACATTTTGCACAGTGTGGCTGCATTTGCTCTTCAAGTGTGTTTATGCCTCTGTGAGTGTGTATGTGTGTCTGTATATGTGTGTGTGTGTGTGTGTGTGTGTGTGTGTGTAGCCACTTATGACTACTGGAAGGTCAGCGAAAAAGCAAACTGAACCCAAATAGTGAATTATTATTATTCTACAGACACTTTCCTTGTCAGTGGAACCAGTTGCATGGCACAGCACTGCTACAGGATTCTAACGTTGAGTACAGACTGTACACATTTCACATAAGGCACCTGGATTACACTGTTTTATTTCACGGTGTGTGTCAAATTAGCGGCATAGTTGCCAACAAAACCAGTAGTATCCAATCAAAAGTTGTTTATTTCCATGAACCAATCAGAGCTAATGTTTAGACTTGAAGTGTGTTTGAGTGGAAACAGTTTGAGATGTTTATCGATGATTGTCAGGTTGAATCTAATGGAAATGTCTGTGATTTGGATGGAGGACGACGATGATGTCAACGGTGACTGAAAAGCCTTTATATCGGGAGCTTTCCTGGCACTTAATAGGAGAAGCATGGTGGAGTCAAACTAATTTTGATTGTACTATCTGGGGAGGGTGGGGAAGCCATGTCGGGGTTTTGGGTGGGTATCCGTGTGGTTATTTAATGAAACTTGAGCTTTCCCTTTGTACAAATGGACAAACCAAGGTGAAGCTGATGCTGAGGGGTGGGGGTGTGGGCTCACCGGGAATCTCCAGGCCTCAAGGTGGCGCCGTCGCCCCCACCCCGCCGTCGTTCAGGCTGTCGGGGTGTCCCAGGCAGAGGGTTGAGACTTTGGGCCGCTCCAGGCCTCTCTTGTAAATTGTCGTTCTGTGATCTTGCTTGCACTTTTTTTTTTTTTTTCCTTTCCCAAAAATAAGAAACTAATTGTAAGTGTGTGTGTGTGTGTGTGTGTGTGTGTGTGAGTGTGTGTGTGTGTGAGTGCGGGTGCACTTTTTATTTTTAATCTCTGCATTTT